TATCCTTTTCTTTTCTTCCCCGGACTCCTTCTCTTTTCCTTCTCACCCAATTTGTTGACTCACTTCCTTGTTCACTCTCACTCCCATTTCTTACTTGTGGAAATCTTCCTGGTGGCTGTGGTGTTTTAGGTGCCGATCTTGGTGAGGGAAATTAGTTGAAGCTCTCTTATCCGTGGGTCTCCGTCGTTCCCCATCTCCTTCTTCATTCTCTTTTGCCCGAAGCTCGGAATCTTCTAACGAGGTAAGGGAAGCTAGGTTTTGCTGGTTTGGGTTGAGAATGAGTTGAAAAACTCTTAAGTTGTTTGATTTTGGATGATTGACGAGCTGTTTTGATGAAATTTTCATTTTCGGGTTTTCGGGGTTTTGGGGTGAAATTTTGGGGTTTTGATGATTTGTGGTTGCATGTTGAAAAAGGAGTTTTTGTGTTGATTGACGAAAATGTAGTTCTTTGGAGGGTTTGCATGTGTTTGGGCTGTTGGATTGTTGCAGGTTGTTGTTCAAAAATGGAGGAGGGATTGTTTGCTGTCACAAACGGCTGAGCCGTTTTGAACGGCTGAGCCCTTTGGGAGTTTCGTGGCAGGGGAGGGTTTCTGGAACCAAACAGCTGAGCTGTTTTAAGGCGCTGAGCGCTTTGGGGGCAGAGAGCCACCTGGAACCAAACGGCTGAGCCGTTTTAAGGCGTTGAGCGCTTTTGAGGCAGAGAGCAAGAGGAGAATCCCTGGAGGTAAAGCGCTGAGCGCTTTGGAGGCGCTGAGCGCTTTTGTGCTTTCAGAATTGGACTTTGTAGTCTTCATGAAAGTTGTAGCCTTGGATCTTAGCTTTCCAATGGCACTGGAATCACCCAAAAAGGAGTTTTAGAACTCCAGATATGGCTGTTTTAGTGAAGAGGGGTCAAGTTGCCAGCTTTACTTATAGCTGTTGCGGTTTTTATCAGTTTTAACAAGGTAGATGAAGGAATTAGGACTTGGTGTCTTATTGAGAGTTTTAGGAAATCTTCTTATCTTTCATATGAGATAAGGATGAGTATGGTAGGAGTAGTATAACTCCTGATGCACTATTTTCTGTGAAGGTTGCCATTTCACATTTAGTGATTTGGTTAAGTTGAAAGTTGTTTTTGGTGCTTAGGATGATTGGTATTGTTTGGATGGCTAATTTGACAAGATAGATAAGTTGTAATTAGGGTGGATGAGTCGTATTATGTGTTGAATATGTTGTAGGTTGTATAAGCTATTAATGATGAATGTTGTTGAGCTGAGTTGATGAATATAATGTGATGACTTGTGATTAACGCTGCTTGTTGATGTTGAGCTGTATCAGTTGTATGTTGTTGTAAGTCGATTATGTTGGGTTGTATCAGTTATAAATTGTTGTAAGTTGATATGTTGAGATGTATCAGTTGTATACTGTTGTGAGTTGATATGTTGAGTTGTATCAGTTGTATACTGTTGTGAATTGATATGTTGAGTTGTATCAGTTGTATACTGTTGTGAGTTGATATGTTGAGCTGTATCAGTTGTATACTGTTGTGAGTTGATATGTTGAGCTGTATCAGTTGTATATTGTTGTAAGTTGATTATGTTGAGTTGTATCAGTTGTATATTGTTGTAAGTTGATATGTTGAGTTGTACTGTGTGTTTATTTTGGATGTTGTAGGCCGAAAGACTGAGATGTTGTAGGCCGAAAGGCTGAGGTGTTGTAGGCCGTAAGGCTGAGGTGTTGTAGGTCGAAAGGCTGAGGTGTTGTAGGCCGAAAGGCTGAGGTGATGTAGGCCGAAAGGCTGAGGTGATGTAGGCCGAAAGGCTAAGTTGTTGATCACTAAGACTAGAAGAGTTGTTTTTGAAACTTCCTCATCCCATTATGTGGATTGAGTGGCTGTGGTGCTCTTGGAGCCCAATTTGTTGAAAACCCTCTCTGGGAAGCTGACCCTTGGAGTGGTAACTTGCTGTTCTCCTCTAAGTCTCAGTGGTCCCGTGTGTGGGCAAGGTCGAGGCACACGTGTACAAAGCGACCACGGTATAGGGGCCGGGTCGACCTATACCGATTACAAGCGACCAATACTAACTTATATGCGTGACGACGCATTGTATGTTTTATTGCTGTTATGTTGTATGGTTGATGAGTTGTATGCTGATGATGTGAGATGTGTGTTGTTATTGCCGAATGTTGTGGTATTTTAAATTGATTTTGTTAAGCTGATTGATGTGTTGATTTGATGTGTTGATAGGGGTAGCTATTTACTATTCATATATATATGTATATATGTATGTATGTTATTTCTTTTCACTAGCTTACCCTTAGTTGTTTCCATGTGGTTTGGACTGCAATGATCATACTATGTATGGGAGCAGAGCAGGGTTAGACTGGTGATAGTGGCAAGTCTGCAGCTGGCAAAGGGAGGAGTCTTGTTTGGCAGATGTTTGTTTGTTGGGCCACTATCTAGCTACTTTGGTTGTATTTCGTTTGTACACTCTAACTCTAGTCGGATTGGAACATTGTATATAATTATATTCTAGATCCTATATTTATATACTCGTTCTATTCTGTCTAGTGTTTCCGGTGTGCTATGGTTGTGAGTGTAGTGACCAGCCGGGTCGTTACAAAAAATAAAAAAAATAATTACAAAGATTAAAATCAAAACATACTTATTTTACAAGAATATATATATATGTATATACCATTTCATAAAAATAAAATATGAATCAATAAAAATCAATGAATAAAGATAATAATTTAAATACTCAATAAGTCAATAATTTTTTTGTCTAAATTAAAATAATTTGATATCCACACATATTAACTCTTATATATTAAATACAAATCGCTATCTAACACGAGAACGGTTCTAGTTCTAGAGACTCTTTTAAACAAGTTTTTAATAATTCTTTCAACTTCTTATTTAATTTGATTTTTATTTATTATAATTATTTATGAATTAAATTTTAATATTTTAAAGATATCTATTTATATAAATTTTAAATATAATCTATATATTCAAATAATATATATATATATATATATATATAATTTATTATAAATTTTAGTATATATATAAATATTTGACATGCATATTAAAATAATAGCTTTAATTTATTATTATATCGAAGCTTTACTTTACCCATTAGCCAAAAATAAACTTGATGAACTAAGCCATTGCTGGGACAAAATGATGGAGCAACAGAGGCTCAAGCTTGGGATCATATCAATAAAGCAATCGAAAATTATTCACATTCACCATTAACAACCCTCTTACTCCAACTGCAGTATATTACTCAACCTCAACTACCACCATGTCTCTGATTATAAGTTTCTGGCCGAATCTCCAATTGTTTTTCATTTATGTGTCCTCTGTGTCTCCACTTTCTTTTCCATTCATTTATTCTTGACTTTAATATTAAATACTTGCCTGCTGAAGCCATGACCCACCTTACCTCACCCGTGCCAAAAACAAAAATATCATCACTACTATGCCCGTAATGGAAATTACCCTATGCAATGAGACGTGTATATATGTGGTTAATTAATACCCACAAGTTTAAGTGATTTTTTTAAAGTTAGATAAAACTGATTTTAAAATATATTTTAATGATAAAATTTACATTAGAACGTGTATAGATAGAGTATTTGATTTTTAATAGTATGTGTGATTGTGCGTACGTCAAGCACTTAGAACACCACAGTCAAGTGTGGCTCTAATTACTTCCCAAAAAGTAATGGTAGAAACAAACAAACTACCATAAGTTCATGGCCATTGTTTGGACCACTTCACTGGAACCCCTCCAACTGCTTGGACTATTTAGAAAGACCTTGAGTTTTTTTTCTTTTTATTTTTTACTAAGAGAGTCTTGCTGTAAGAAAATTTATTTATAAGTAATTTTAAATCATAAAAATAAGAGTTTTCTTGTTGTTAATATTTAAGATGAAATTAGTATTTTAATATGCATAATACACGGACTAAATCATTGAAATTATTATCTATCCATTCGTTGGAAAGAAACTAAGATTACGAGCAAATCTTTGGACACCATATTCTTCACATGGAAAATTCAATTCCGTTCAATACTTTTTCTTATTCTTCCTTGGCTAATCAATATTTTTTTAGTTTATTTTATTTTGAATGAAAATATACGGCAGGAACATTAGAATTTGTGTACTATGAGAAAATATCTTTTAATTACAAAGCTATTATGTATATTTGATTTTATTTTGTGTTTTCAAAAATGATTATTCCTTATAGAAATATTTGAAAGAAAAATAAAAATAAATTAAATTTTGGTATTGAAAATAAAATTGTCAAACCAAACATGTGACCAACTTTTGAATAGAGTGGTGATGTGCAGGCATGGAAAGAATCTGATTGGAGCAAACTTGGTTGGGTCATGAGCGTCATCATCATGGGAAAGAAGAATAAGTGATGAGTCTGATGACTATCCTGCACCACTCAAAGGGGCCAATTACTTTAATTTCGAGAATAATATCCATGTTTGAAATATCTACCTCCTAACTTGTTTTCAGGATCTTCATAAAATTAGTTGTAGAATTTTGTAACAAAAAATACCCTCGTACCTTTTCACCATACAAATGCCTTCCCAATTGCTTTCACTTTCACACAACACGTAAAGGCAAGGAGAGTCGAGACACGAAGCATCTCATCTGTGATCTACCTTCGTTCTGACTTTATGCCAAAAAAAAGTGTATCAATGACATCGTGGACAAAGAATAGAACATTCACCCGTATAGACTAGTCTAGATTCTTCTAGGAAGGGATATAGTGGACTGTGCTAACTAAACAATTAACAATCACGCATGTTACACGCTTTGAACGCAACTCAATCTGAACACACCCAATTTGTTGACTCAGGACTGGAGAACAAATTCAATTTATAAAACACGCTTTAACCAAAATATGATGACCACAGAAAAGAGGAATAAATTATAACACAGAAATATAGTAATTGTTCACACAATAAGGTAGACAACGCTGGTAGATTGTTTAGAATTTGTGGTAACGTGACCAGGCAAAAATATCCCCATTTACATATTATGATACGATTCCACATATGTGCGTGTTATGAAAAATAACTAGACAAATTGAGAAAAGAGAAGGGCAGGAAACAAATTACAAATATGATACCAGAAATGGTCTGTCTCTTTTGTTGAGCATTCTCTATTGCATCGTTAACGGCTCAACAAGGCTCGTGAATCTCTTGGAATACATTATACATATGACATTGCTATAATTTCTTATGACTTAAAATTTCAATGAAAGAATCAGTAAAGACTTACAACAAAAATTGGGAACTGAGTAAACACAAAAGTATTACCACTATAAAACAGAAATTGACATTGGTACTGAAACATCACCGGCAAAGCTGGTATCCCTAGTTGTAGTTGAATTGCTAGCAAACGCATAGCCTACACCTAATCCACCATAATGTAGAGATGCATTCTCACATCTCTGAAACACTCTTGCAAGTGAAGCTGCTTTTCTTCTTGCACGCTTTGTTCCTGTAAAAAGAAGGGTTTGAAGTAATCCAGCCAAAGCTGGCGCCTTCACAACTCTTTCGGTTGCAGCTGCACCTCCACTACGGCACAACTCAAGCAACGCTGCAACCGCGTTTTCTTTACCTCTCGGTGTTCCACAACGCATCATTCCAATTAATCCAGCCACCGCTGCTTCCTCATTCACAACTGCTTTGGCCCCAGCAGGCTGCCGGACAATCAAGGCCAGCGCACCGGCTGCTTCTTCGGCCACTCCTTCGTTCCCCAAAGCACCAACCAGAGCTGTCACTGCCCCAGCCTCTATCATTCTAACACAATTCTCAGTGTGTGTGGAAAGATTGAACAAAGCTGTGACAGCATCTTTCTTTCCCCTTGGAGTCCCCTCTTGCAACATCCCTGCAAGGGCCTCAACCGCTCCGGTCTCATCTGCAATTATTTTCTTGTAGTCATGGACTGCGGATAGACTGAACAACGTGGCAGCAGCATTCTCCCGTGCCTCTGTGGTGTGTCCAAATCTCAACACATCAACAATTGATCCAAGACAACCATCCTCATCCATTATCCTGCTTTTGTTCTTGTCATATATGGACAAATTGAGCAGTGCAGTCACAGAATTCTCCTGAGCAACAGCATCAGGCGATGAAAGTAAATTCCGGAGATAAGGAATGGCCCCTGCTTCTGCAATGAAGGCGCGGTTTTCCTTTCCAGTCTTGGCAAGCAACCGAATCTCCCGAGCGGCCACAGTCTTCCCAGATTGAGAGCCATGAGCGAGCTGTTGAATGAGAAGCGTGGCGGTGGCTCTGTTGGCTTCAAGGGCAGCTTTGGTGGGAGATGCCGAGGCAAAAGCATCAGCCATCATGACATCCATGACCTCCGGAGGGTCAAGGGGTACTCCATGTGCAGTGCACCACTGCACAATCAAATTCCTGAGAGCCCGGTTGGGAACAAGGCGAGTGTTAGCAAGCATTTGGCCTGTTTTGGGGCAAGTGGTATGCCCTTCTTCCATCCACCTGGAAATGGAACTCCTATCATAAGTTTGACCCGTGGAAATTATCACCGGGTCTCTCATCAAATCCAACGAAATTGGACAGCAAAAGTCCTTAGGAACAGTCAAAAACGTTTCAGCAATTTCCTGAGTAATCAACCTCCTTCTAGACTTCTTCTTAGTCCCATTCTCCAAACTAAGCTCATCCTCCTCAAATCCAAAGAGCAAAAACCTGCAATACCTAGTCATAGCCACCAATCCATTAAGCACAGAAATAGTAGGCTCAATGTCACCCTCATGATTTACAATCTGCTCCTCCAAGGCCTCAATTTCACTCCTACAACTAGCAGCATCCGGAATCTGCAACTTCTCAACATAAAAAGACCTCAATTCAGTAGAATCAGGAATCCTTCCATTCTCAAACTCGTCAAGAAAGGAGAAAAACCGGATCCTAAGAGCATCATCATTCATATCTATAAAAAGCCTAGCCCTCCTGGACTGTTTCTGCAAGAGCTCAACCTGTTCCCTAACATCCTTACTCAACCCGACATCCTTAACAGGAAAAACATCCAAAAGGGTCGAAATTTCTTGGTTCAAATCGTGGAAGTGACCAGAGATGGAATGGTTCTGAAGCAAGAGCCACAACTTACTCGATTGGGCGCAGTAATCGAGGAGAATCTTGGAGCGGTACAGCAAGAGGTAAAGCTCCTTGAGACAAAGCACCGCCGTTGGGGGAAGACACGAGCCAGAATCGGAATCGCTCAAATACTCCAAAAGCAGCTGAAAAACCTCCACTCTTCGGATCAGAGACCGCGAGTTCTTGCGCTGGAAGAAGAAACAACGCTTCGAGAAACACGACACAATCTCGCTCGCCACCGTGACAAGGGTCTGAACCAAAGCGACGTCGCTCAAGTCAACGGGGGCCAGAAACGCTTCCAACGTCGGCGACCTTCTCCGCCGGAGCGACGAAAAAATTGCCCCTGAAGCCATACGGGAAATCCTAGGGTTTCCAAGTCCACGAGGAAGCCCAAAACGTGTTATTTTTTTAATGCCCAGATGATAACTTCGGAAACCCAGAAGCTTTAATGGAGAAAGGCGAGGACTTGCACAAGTTTCAGATCTGGGGTGGCAGAGAATAAATTTTCCAGGGAAAAAAATTCTTGCTTTCCAAACGCCACACGCAAGAGAGAAAGAAAGAGTATGAAACAGTTGGTGATGGTGTTGGGTGGGGAGTTGAATGTTCAAAGGGTTATGAAGAAGCGATGAGATTGAAATTGAGAGAGAGAATTAAAAAAAAAATTGAAAAAAAAATGTGCCGAATCCGCGTATGAGTACGAGAGGGAAAAGAAAAAGGTTACGACTTTGTTTCTTTATCTCAAATTTTTCTAATTTTTCAATCCCGTAGGAGTTTCGATGCAGCCTGCGTGACAACGACTTTCCTAAGTTTGACGGATTGATCATGCAGATTCTGGTCCATTCGTTTATTTGTATATTTTGTATTTATTTTGGGTTAGGTTTGATGGTTTCAATTGCGAGACAGGGAAAGAGTAAAGGAAAGGGTTAAAGATGGGTTTGGGTTGTCAACCGAAAAAAGAACGGTTCGGCTTTTGTGGGAAATTACGATTTTAGTGTTCTTGAAATAGGTTGCTATCGCTGTCAGGTGAGGCTTAAATGGTAATAGAAGGTGAAATTGGTGGCTCCACGTCGTGTGTTGTCTTCGTTTTGACTTTGTGGGTGAAATACTGTTTGATGCACTTCGTTGCTTTCTTTGGTTATCATTTCAGACTCTTAAAGTCCACACTGTTTGCAGTTCCTTGATATGTGTGCATCATGTTTCTTTTTCCACCCACAAGATAAGGAAATACGATGCATTTGCTACCGTTCTGAGGTTTTTTATTACTTTCTTTACTTTAATTCAAAAATGGGTACATTATCTATTCTGTGTTTTTCAATGCCCTATTTTTCTCTCTTAGATTCATCTCCTAACTTGGTAATTATATCCCTTCACAACATATTTGCTACTATAAGGAAACTATCTTGATGGAGAGAAATAGATTGTAATTTCCATTAATTATTGAAATCACTTTATCCTGATTAGTTATCATTTACTAATATTGTGTGTTATATTATTGTATTTACTCATCATTTTAACAACGAAAAATATTAGATATTTACATTAAAAAAAAATTTACATATATTTTTCTCTCTTGATTTTATGTGATAATATTTCTCGATAAAATTTGAATATAAAAATTAAAATAATTTTTTAAAAAATCATAAAATTTTAAAATATCAGTTTTAAATTTAAGGAATTAAAAATAAATTTATCTTAAGTTTAAAAAATTAAAAATATATTTTAAAAAATAAGTTGGTAGAATTTTTTTAATAAATTAGTAATTATACTTTGTTTAAATCACTAATTCCTTTTAATTTAATATAAAATTGGTAACAAAGTTTAAATTTAAAACCTTGAGTATATTATTTAAACTTTTCACTAATAGGTCTGTACTAGTAATTCAGTTAAAATCATAGCTAATCTTGTCTTACTACAAATCACTACTCTTTTAACAACGTGAAGAAAGCATTTTTGAAAACAAAACTTGTGATTATTATAAGTAAAAGTCAGAGTGAGTATTATAAATAAGTAATTAGGATAATATGTACCAGATCATTGATTCTAAACTTGGTGTGATAATTGTATACCTACAAAAGGGCTGGTGTTTAACTGTGATGGGTTATAAAAAAAAATTAACAAAATGCAAATTTGATATTTTTCAATTTAAATTAGTATTTGTGCTATTTAATTGGTTTTTATCGTGTTTTACAATACATCATAATAATTTTTATTAAGAAGTATTTAAAATATTAATAAAAACTAATAATTCAACTTGTGCATAGACTAAATATTTATTAAATATAATTAAAATTTATAATAATTTATACTGCAAATAAATATGATGTTTGGATGTATAAATTATATTTAAAATTAGTATAAATAGATACTTTAAATATATAGGTTATATTTTAAATTTATCATAAATAATTTATATTATAATACAATATTATTTTTATTCATTGATAGATTATTTTAAAATATCAAAAATTAATTAATAAACAAATATAGTAAACAAAAACTGAATTAAATAAAATGTTAAAAAAATTAAAAATTCTATAATTGATAAAAAGTTAAAAATTTATGTTTAATATATAAGAATTAATTAAATATGAATAATTAAAAATTAAATAACATTTATATCTATAATGTTTCGTGATATTATACATTAATCTCTTTTTCTATCTCTACACGGAGTCTTAGTTGTTTGAAAATATGACACTAATGCCCTTCATACATCATATTAACTTTCTTAATTGTTTGAAAAAAATGATATCATGTTCCATTATAATGTGTTACTCGTTAAAATAATATAAGATGTGCAATCTCACAAAATCTCAGAAAATACTAATGTTTTTCCATTATATATAAATTTTAAAATTTAAATTAATATGATTGGTCTAATAATGAAAGGTCGGATTATTATGTACCTGATTATAGGATCAGACTTTATTAATATCATTATAATTTTAATTGATAAGACTAATATTGTATAAGTATAAAAATTTCAAAAAAAAGTAAACTCAAATAAATGCAATAAAAAAAACAATTTTATACTATTTAATGTTACCATCTCTAAAATGTTATTTATTTAATTAAAATTCTGTTTTTAATAGTTTTATTATTTTTAACATCAAATTTCAATAAAAGTTAGTATTTGGTAAAGAAAAAATTATTTTTAATTGAAATTAATAAAATTAAATAATTTTTATTATTTTTATTTCACGTACAAATTAATTAATGTTTTCTTAGATTTGACTCTAGAAAGGGTAATTTATTAAAAAGACAAAAAAAATGATAGGAAGGAAAAATAGAGAAATGAAAGAGCGGTTTTAAATAAAAATGAAAGAGTTGACTTGAGTAAAGAGATGGGGCACGCGATTATGATAATGAGGTGGATTATGCTTACTGCTTAACTGTAATTAGGAGATAAATGCCTTTTTATTTTTATTTCTCTTTTGACCAAACAAAAGAAAGAACTAGGCACCACTCCAAACGCCAAGTTGACCGCTCAGATTCTCCAAACATACAAAAGTAGACGGGGAAGCCGATATGCTTTTTAATAACCATATTGCTATTTCATACTATTATTACTATTTTATTATTTACGCCCATATTTATTATATATAAATATTTAAATTAAATATACATAAATATTTTAAATATATAAATTATATTTTAGATTTAAAATAAATAATTTGTATTGTAATTTTTTTATTTTTTGATAATTTATTTAAAAATATTATTATTTAATTAATAAATAATTATGATAAGTAATAATTAAATTAGATAAGAAGTTGAAAAAAATCTTACAAATTCTCTCGTTGAAAAAAAATTTGTAAAACATTATTGCATAAAATAAAGATTTATATTTAATATATATCAGTTAATTTTTAAAATATTAAACTCAATTGTGAATGAAAATTTTTGTGAGACCCTTGCAGCCTTCACTTCCTTTTCCTCTCCCTCTCTATCACTCACACTCTCATTCTCACTCCCTCATATACTTTTCTTTCCCCCCCCCCCCCCATTTCCTACTCACTTGCTGATTCTTCCTTCTTTGGTGAGCATAGGTGCTGGTCAAGAGTAGGTGGTTGGATTTCTAGCTAAGTTGTGTGGAGCTTCCTAAGCTTCTCCTTCTTCTCCATTTCATCTTTTCGGAGCTCGGATTTCTTCACTGAGATAAGGGAAGTTAGTTTTTTCATGCTAGTTGTTTGGGAGTGAGCTTGGGACTCACTTGTTGGCTAATTTCTTGCGTATTGATGGTTGTATTTGGAGGAAATTTCGTTTTCGGGGTTTCGGGGTTTTTGATGAAATTTGGGGATTTTGATGATTTGTGGTTGCATGCTAGAAATTACCTGATTTTCGTGTTGTGTGATGAAAATGTGAAGTTTTGGGCCGATTGCATGTGTTTGAATGACTTGATTTTGTAGGATTTTGAAGAAATTTCAAACTTGGTGAGTTGTTGTTGGGTATCACGCCGGACGCAATTCTTGGCGCCGAGCGCGTGACCATCAGAGGACTCTATTGGGCAAGCCCGCTGGGCGCAAGGTTGTGTGCGTCGGGCGAGCTTAACAATAGGAGCCTCTGATGGCCCACGCCGGGCGTGGTTGGACCACGCTAGGCGCGATATCAGTAAGTAACATAGCTTTTGGGTTTCTGGTGTTGCGCCGGGCGTGACTACGTCTTGCCGGGCGTGGAGACTCCTTGGAAGTCTCTGCCAGAGGTGGCGCTGGGCGTAACTGTAATTGCGTCGGACGTGAGACCTTGGGGAGGTCTCTGCCTACCATGCGCCGAGCGCGAGTTTGGCACGTCGGGCATGTGAGGCTCTTTGGAGTCTCTGCCTCCTAGCACGCCGGGCGCAATTGAAATTGTGTTGGGCGCATTTGAGCCCTGGTGCTCCCTGGTTGGGCCATTCCGGCGCGACCATGAGTGCGCTGGGCGCGGATGTGATCATTATTTATATGCTGATATTAGCTGAAATTGTTGATGTTTGCTGAACTGAGCTGTTAATTGATGAATGTTGAGCTGATTTATAATATTGTTGTGTTGTGAGTTGTTTAAGCTGTGCTGTATAATGTTGAGCTGTGTGGTATGCTGTTATTGTTGTGATGTGTTGCATGCTGATATAAACTGTTGTAGTCCGTAAGGCTGAGCTGTTGTAGGCCGTAAGGTTGAGCTGTTGTAGGTCGTAAGGCTGAGCTGTTGTAGGCTGAAAGGCTGTGCTGTTGTAGGCTGAAAGGCTGAGCTGTTGTAGGCCGTAAGGCTGAGCTATTGTAGGTCGTAAGGCTAAGTTGTTGTTGGCCAAAAGGCTGAGCTGTTGTAGGCCATAAGGCTGAGTTGTTGTAGGCCGAAAGACTGAGCTGTTGTAGACCGTAAGGCTGAGCTGTTGTAGGCCGTAAGCTTGAGTTATTGTAGGCTGTAAGGCTGAGCTGTTGTAGGAGATCTCTGAGCTGATATGCGTGACATATTATTGTTTGTTTACTGCTGTTTATGTTGTATATGTGATGAATTGTATGTTGATGTTGTTGTATTAGATGATATGCTGATGACTGTAACTGATATAATTCTTGAAATTATATGTATATATGCTAATTTCTTTTCACTAGCTTACTCTTTGTTGTTTCCTTGTGGTTTGGACTGCAATGATTATACTATGTATGGGAGCAGAGCAGTGATAGGCTAGTGTGTAAAAGACAAGTCTGTGGCTGACAGATGCAGTGGATGATATTTGATGTTTTGTTGTTTTTGACCACTAGTTTGACTATTTTGGATGTATTTTGTACATTGAACCCTAGGCTAGACCTTGTGTAT